AGCCAGCGGATTTTGAGGCTTTATGCAAGGATAAGGCCAACACGCAGCTTGTCCGATACTACACTAGTTCTGCAAGAAGAGCATTTCTGGCCCAGACTGCACTTATGGTTTAGGGTTTAAGGTTTAGGGTTTAGGATTTATTTAGGGCATAGAGATCAACAGACAGAAGGACACGCATTGGCCATGCAAGGGTGAAGAAGACCAATTGTCACTCCGAGTAGGTTGCCAATTGGACTTCAAGCTGCGGTTCCGTAAACTCTTAGCACCTGCCAACACAGAACCCAAAATCCTGATGTGATTCTAGATTGGCCTGACCCATTAACCCAGACAGATGAGCTGCAACTTAACTTCTTTGGATTTTAAGACATCCAAGTGTTTCATCGCAACAACCATGCTCAAACGTCAGCAGTTAATCGCGATCCCGTTTTTGTGGCGTTGATTCGGGCGACCTTCCTGAACCTGATCTCGAAACAGTCCCCAAGCACGTAATTAAATCCGAAGAAGACGAGAAGCAACGATCACTTCGACCTGGGACAGATGCTCCTTCCAGGATGCTCAAAGTAGTGCGCCCGTACTTTAGTGCTCTGCAAGAAAGCGCCCACGTCCATGTGCGTAATTGAGTTGCCGAGCTTTAAATGCTAACTTTCAGAGCTGGTTTCGATGCGCACCGCCATCTAGACTTCTAGGAGAAAAACTACTGCGTAAGGTTTGACTTTTCTGTCGGGCAGAGATTAATATGATGAAGCCACGTGTACTGTACCTTGTCATGTACCTTGCCAGCGAAATGGTTCAGATGATCCCCGCAGTACACTGTGAAATCACGATGCCTAATGACAAGGACAATGACTACGTCGTTGGTCTAAAAGATCCATGCTTAAATGCTTGACGGCTTTCTGAAAGTCTTCCTAGCGTGCTTCAGTACGTGGACGTAACTCTGGGCAATCATGGAAAGGGATTCACTGGTAGACCATGCAGTATGCTCGCACAATCAGATACACAGTCACTAGACTATGAGCGGGATTTGAGGGTTTCCAGATGTTGGGGGTCCTTTTCGAGGCTTCCTATAAGAAGGATCTCAATATCTTGGGTCTGGATTGGCGCCCCCCCTATTGATAGAAACTACTGTTTTCAGGGCTGCGAAGGATGTGCGCGCCATTGTGCGCTGCAAAACGTCATGGAGCCAGTTCTGCGGGCCACCATGCATGCCCTCATGGGCGGATGTGCTTGGAACGGACATAAGTACCAAGGCCGGCGATGCACTGGTGAGCGGCGGTAGGCAGCCGGGCGCCAGGTATCTATGTCGCGGAATTTGACATGGCATGGCAGAGCCGGATGAGCTTTCTTCACTGCGAGACTTCCTCTCGGAAGTGCGCAGTAAGACACCTACACTTCTCCAGCAGCGCCCAGCGTAAGACCGTGGGATTTGCTTCGAGGATTCCTTCCTAAAATTGTTTTCGGAGCTCTACGTCTTCCAAATGCATTTCACGCAGACATTTACGTATCTACAATAGCTAGTAGGTACAAAACAATACATGGATCATGCAAGGATCTCATCCAGAAGAATTTCCAGGCAACCTGCGTAGATGCTTCCAGTATGAAGTCCTTCTTAGAATGCTGTTTAAAACTTACATACTGTCAGCATCCCTTGGGAATTTGGGGAGAATTGCCCGGAATCCTCCGTACCTCGACAGGTGTTCTGGTTAGAAGGCTGCCTAAAGCGTGAGCTGGAGGCGCGGGCCCCCCCAAGTTGAGTGGTACGTTGCAGGGCTCCCTCCACTTCCCCTCTGCTTTTTCGCGCTATCAAGGCCCGCTGGCTGTCCAGAAGCCCACGTTTAGCATCAACCCTAATAGTATCGACACGCTCAACAAACTCAGTTGAGGAACAAGACTCCTGTTTGTCAACAAGAGACATCTTTGCAGGCAAGCCCTTTATCTAGCAGGCCCCCCAGTTTGAAAGGCCTGCCACATCGTCTCACACGTTCATGGCGTGGCTTAACTTCATCCTTTAAGAACCTACCGAGCATTGATTGCCAGTTGATTTCCAATGCTGGCTGAGATGACAAACCCCGACCCTCCGATATCTGTTCTGCAAAGCCTTGCTGCAAAGCCTTGCAGTGTGCTAGGGCTCCTGGACAGCGCTGCTGTCTCCGCCCTTGTGAGGCAGGCCTGTCTGAATCTTCAAAAGACAAGCTTGGGGGCTAGGCGCAAGTAACCTTCATGCTACAGAATCACAAGCCTCAAATGATGGAGAGGGAGCATCAAGTCTTACAAACAGGGCTTGAGGGTCGACGGCTCAGAGCTCATTTTGGTGAGATCACAGCAGAAGGTAGAACTGTGCCGGGATTTGCTCAAGTTCTAATGTTGGACTTGAGGGTTGTAGGTCTAGAGTATATGCTTCCAGTTTCCAGAGAACGCCTCTTGGCTCAACACGTATACAGCTTCAAAGGCTAGCAATGCCCTGCATGGCCAGCCACATAATCCCAGCTTCACCCGAAGACTTAGCACCTACAGCCCGCTGAGTACAGTAGGGGCCTAATAAGGTCCAGCTCAACTTATTGAAGTCATATTTGAAGTCTATGTGGCGTACCCTATGCGCAGATGAAGATAGACGGAGACACACGGTAATTCTTTGTGCTCTAAAGTACAGTGCACTGGGGCAATGGGACAGGACTCAATGCTGGACTGAGACCCAGCACCAAAAGATTCAACCCTTCAAAAACCTCTCTTGAACACAGAAACACAATGGGAAGTTTCGGGTATTCGAGGCTCAAGTCATATCATATGGCATTAACATTCCCTGGCTGAGTTTGCATAGCTTTTGGCATAGGAAGTATTGTACATGTGCTTGCTTTTTCTGTGTCTGCCCGCAGCAAGATTTGTGATACGATGCTGTGTGCCGCTATTGTCCGAGTCGTTTTCAGGGGGTGAGGCCCCTGCGCTGCCCAAAATTAGAGGGTACCCACTACAACGGCTCTGCTACTTCAGTGGGTATATAAGGGCCTGATGTAAGCAATAAATAGGCCCGTGTATCTGTATGCAAACTCAAAACACAGGCCGAACTCAGGGGCCTGAAGAATTATGATAAGTGTTCGAGTGCATTTAGCACGTCCTAGAATCACAGCACAACCATACAGAAAAAATACTAGTTGTTGTGCAACAGAATAAAAATGAAAACAAAAAAAACACTCTTTGAAATCGAGCTGCCGACGGCCTTCAACCTAAACCCTGAACCCTAAACCCTAAACTCTCAACACTAACCCGGAGCCCTACACCCTGAACTCTAAACCCTGAGCCCTACACCCCGAACCCTAAACCCCAAGTCATGAAACTGGGGTCCCAGACCCCAGGTCACCACCGAACCATCCTCGCGTAGTGCAGCAAACGCTGCGCTGGAGGCCTCAAGAGCTCTTGAAACTAAGGTTCCAAACTCATTACTACTGTTGATGGAGGAAATCTTGCACCACCTTAAGTCCTTAAAGTCCTAGGAATTACAATAAATTAGGGCCCCTAGGTGGTGCAAGATTTCATCCATCAACACTAGTACTATTGCCATGCCATGTTCATTAGAATTCTGATAACTTTCGCTATCATTACTATTGCAAGCATTCTTATGGTTATTGCAGATGGAAGATTGCAGGCATTAAGAAGGCTCACTTGTAACCCAGACTAACTACAGTTCAGTAGTACTTACCTTTAAAAAGAAACTGTAACCTGTGAAACTTCAGGTACCAAGGTTTGCAGGTAGGGTGGCTCAAGCCCTGGGGGCCCAAGTCCCCTGTACCAGCATCCTGACCCATTCCCAGATGGAAGTGTGGAGATGATGCACAGCTGAAGTGCTAGAGATAACCTGATGACCCCATCTAGCTTTTTTGGTAGTACGTGGATACAAGTGGCATCGGCACATAATTTCATTCCGGACCGCCAAAATGCGCCGAATCCAGCGGCGCATCAAGCTCAGCGCTCTGTTTACCAACTCTTGCTCTGGCACTATGGCCTTGTCCCTCATCAAGTTCCAAAAGATGACTTCAAGTACTGATTTCTCTTTCTGTGGGCTTCAATTGGCGCCCCCAAACTAATGTGGAACGCGTGGAACCCCTCACATAACCCTCTTGTCTTTGTACGTCCAGTTTATTCTACGGGCGAGTAGACCACCCTAAACATGTTGGAATGTCAGAATCCAATTAACCACAACTCACCGGAGACTAGGCCTGGATGCTGCGAACTCCATGCAGCTCCTCTTGCATCCCTCTACAGTCCTTGGAGACTGTCAGGGGCTTCGCCGGATTGATGATCGTTGCTACTTGAGTTGTCATGATGAGGAAATCACTTCAGCTCCTTGACAGCAACCCGGGTTAGGGCTTAGAATCTCAAACCAGCAGAAAGGTTTTGGTTGCACAAAAAATCCCAAATCATAGCCATACTGACACTTGGAGGCAGGCAAAAGAAGAATTCAACCCTCTACCTAAATAAGCCTATAGGAACCCTATATGATCTCTTCTATAATCCATTACATAACCCAGGGGTCTTGGTGTTAGGGAATTTGGGAGCCAGACATTCGCAGGATGCCGTGCTGCGCGCTGAGTGATGAAGGCTGTATAGTTTGGGTCCTGCCCCCGCCCTGTAGCAGTGTATATTAGGGGTCATATTATTAAGGGTATATACATACACATATAGGGTTTAGGCTTCATATTAGGGGTCATATTAAGGGCTACATATGTGTGTATATATATATGTGTGTGTGTGTTTCGAACATTATCCAACTGTTACAGAGTGAGGCAGTACCCGATATATCGTACTGCACGCATAGAGAGTGCTGGGTTCCATAAAAGGGGGGGACTCTTTTGGGATCCTTATTGTAGGGATTATGATATATTGGGGCGTACCTCCCAATTGGAGCTCAAAATCTCTGCATCAGCTCCAATCTCGACAGCTCCAGCCGAACCATGGCTGAGATGTGCTAAGTCAGCCTTCTTCAATCTGCATGTCCGCAGCCAAGGAGCCCCTCCGTACTCTGCATGGCCCCATGCGACCACAGTGCCATCTTCCTGCCAGAGGGTACTTCTCCCCGCAATGACAATTAATACGATGTCAGCTAGCCTCAAGCTGCAAGCAAAATAATGTCACATTCCTAACAAGCATCTTATTCCAACACACGTATTTTTGGCCAAGAGGACCGTAGATGCGCGCTCCCCACCCACTCTGGAAGGACCTAGTATGAACCTGCCCACCCTACCCAGTTTATCTACGATTAACATCGTCCTCCGGAGGAAACTTAAAGCTGTCTGCTGCAAATGCAGTAGCGGCCCTTCGGTAAAGTCAACTGGGCTTTGAAATTGTTAGCACACCTCTAGCATAAATCTGAAGAAGGCAAGCTTTCACCCCTTGGCATGCCCACCACCGCCAAAAGTCACCACTCCAAACTCTAGTTTCCAATTTCATGTTCCATGTTTTTTTCTCCATGTGATTCTCCATGTATTCCCCTACAAAACCACTGCACTGAAGGGGACCCAAGGTTTGCGTTATAAACTCGAAGCCATGCAGCTGAGCTTTACGCTGCTCCTGCAAGCTATCATCCGCGTATGAGCTGCAGTCAATATTTCCCACTGTTCTATATTACCTCAACAATGAAAAATCAAATGGAAACGAAATATGGAAAATGAAATGGAAACTTGCATTATATGGGTGACTATATAGATAAGTATTTGCCATACTTATTTTGGAATAAATTTGGGACTGTACTAAACTTGCAAAGGGACCCCCATGTCCAGCCTAATACCTGACAGCAGCTCATGTGGCGAGTGGTGGCCAGCTCACCATCCCCAAACCCAAGACCTTACTCCCCAAAAAACACCTAAACCCTAGTCCCATTCCTCAACCCTGAACCCTGGAATCTGACCCCTAGGCCTTGAACCCTATGTATGTACTGCTGTAGGGATTCTCAACAAGGGACCCCCAATATAATCAAAACCCTCGCAGCAACGCTATTCCTGACTAAAGATTAACCCGAAACCCTAAACTCTTAACCCTAAACCCTAATCCAGAGCCAATGAAACTGTAAGTAATTCCCGGCCTTGAGAGCTGCAAAGGCAGCATCAGCAGCGAAGACATCGTAGACCCCGACGAGCTCTGCCTGGAGGTCAACTCACAAATCATAGGTCTTAGGGTTTAGGGTGGTGCTATTTGTATTTGTTTAATCTTGTTAGGGTCAGATGATACTACAACCTAGTGATCACTGCACCTATAACCCAATTATGAGCCAAGCCCCCCAAGTCCCCTAGTGTTGTACACGTCTGAGGGTCTGTGGATTAGCGCTCAGGGCTTTGGTGTTAAGGGTTTGGGGATTAAGGAGGAAGGATAACTAGGTTACCAATTCCGGCGGGAATGGAGGGACCCTGTGCTTTACGCAACCTCCATAAGGCCCCGCCCACTGCCCCAAAATGAGGGGCTGGTAGGAACCGTTGAGACACTAATCCCCACATCATCGAGATGCAAGGAGTCCAAAAAGTTGAATGGGAGCTCAGTTGTTCCATTTCCAGAAGATCCAAGCGGTGCTACAGGTAGGAAAATAACTCTTATAACAACTGGCTGCCACTTTTTCAGGAATACTTAAAACATTGCTCAGGAGTGCTCATGGACCTAACAGTACGGTCAAACTAGCAGAGCAGTGCTTGTAGATTCTTCATGGAATGGATGTTTTTTCTGCGCGAAATCCTCAGTTTTGAACGATGTCTAGCCTCAAAATGCCAAAGCATGGCTGAGGCAACCTGACCCGTGGCCTGCCTCCAGGCAGAATACTGACAAACCCCCTAGACCTTCCTCCAAAGAATCTGAGGCATGGCATCAGGAAGTTTTAGATGGCGAAATGAACCTCCACAATTGCCCAGAACTTGTCTGGTTACTGGCAGCTGGTCGAACCAGCCACACTCTGCCCACAATCGCCAAGCGCTCCTTGTTTTCCAATTTCGTACCCTTTACAAAGAATCACGGGATGGGCACCTGCCGCTCGCTACAGTCTCCGCCAAAGGTCTTTTGCCCCCAGGCCACCTGGTTTTCCAGCTTGGAAGGCCCAGGAATCTGAAGGCCAGTGCGGGAGCTTGCATCAGACTCACAAGGGATTTTGAAGGTTTAGGGTTTAGGGTTTTAACGGAGGCTTTGAAGAAAATGATGGGTGCGGACGAAGGCTTCCGATGCACCTTCTTTTTCAGAGCTGTAAATAACTGCGCAACTAAACCCTAAACCCTCAATCCTAGAGCTTTACGAGGTTTATGTCACTAAGAAAAACTGGTTCGCGTACTGCCACGCTGGTCTTGATAATCCTTCTGTTTAAAACAACTTGTCCATGTGTTTTGCAGATGTTCTTCGCAACTGTAGTTTATGTTGCTTCTTCCGTTCAAATATGAAGTTTGGAGAAAATCTCTTCAGGAATGACTCGGGAAACAGGCACAAACCCGACAACTGGCTACCTGAAACTTCCCTGAACCCTAAATCCGAAACCCTAGACCCTAAACCCTGACCCCTAGACCCTACACTCGAAACCCTAAGCCCTCAATTTCGTGAATCGTCTGTTCCTCGCTTTCTAGGTCTGGCGTTGGCCTGATGTGGGAGCTTCCAAGACTTTTGGGGTCCCCTCAGAGGGGGTTGATAGGGGATATATGGGGATAGGGGGGGTACCCATAACAAGGATGATAATGCAGTTTTGGTATATTAGGAATCCACCGATCTATGGAAATTCCCATGTGCTCTTTGTTTTCAGGCATGAGGGAGAAGATTCGTTTTGTATTGAAACTATATGCAGGTCTCCAATTTGCATCATGCCGTGGGCACTGATCCCATATTGTTGCCGAACGCACGGGCATGAATTTCCGCAATGATCTTCTCACACGAGCTTGTTGTACATCCTTCGCCCTGCAAAACCCCGGTTCCACCTGCTATATATATGCTGACTAAACATTTCAAGCCATCACGAAGGCTTCAAAGCTGTCCTGGAAGGTTCATGGCTAATTCGAAGTCATTGAAGAAAGGGATTATGTTAATATGATTTACATGGCATGTTTGGAACCCTCTTTTCGGAGACCCTATGAAACTCCCAAAAAAAAGCCAACTTGCCATAGATGGTAGCCAAGGCGCCACGGTGCCATCGGTTTTCAACGCAGCCATGGCCTTGAAGTCACAAGCGCTTTGTTCGTCTCCCACTGCTTAGGGTTAGAACTTCTGGAAGTTTAGGGCTCAGTGCTTGAGGGTCCCATGACTAGCGTTGTGAGATGGGATTGAGGGGGCTATAAGGTGTTCAGACCTTTGCAAATTGAAATATTGAAGCATCTGAGAACGATAAAACTGTTGCTAGTACCAGTTGTCCTTGCTAGTATCTTTGCGGCTTTCATAGTGGGCTTCTCTTCAGTACGTCAATAACCACGCTCTTGATTAATAAAACCCCATTTATTTACAGAAAATTATTGGGGCCGAAAAAAGGGTTCAAAGACTACTTTAAAGGCGGAGGCAGGTTTTGGGCCGAAAACTCCCTGGATTTAAAGAAAATTTTCCCCAAACCCTGAGAAAATAAGGGTCCGCTTTCAATAAAGTTCAAATGGATTTTAATTGAATTTATCTTGATTTTGCTTGGACCCCAATCGCGGTTCCGTGGACGTCATTTACAATTGAAATCTGCTTCTGGCATCAGATAATGAGGTTTTTCTTTTAATATGGTGGGGCGGGGTGGCCGGGGCGCCTTTATTAGTCAAGAGCGTGGATTAATAGAAAGGTCATGTGTGTAGGTGAGTTTAGGGCGTCATAATGCATCTTTAGTCATCATCATAAAGTAGCACCTTGAAAGCTGCAGACATGATACATGATGCCATACCTGCCTTGGCAATTTCTGGACCTCCCTCAGAAGAGCTCAAATCCCGCACCCTAAATCCTAAAATCCAAACATCTCCTGCCCCGAACCCTAAACCCTAAACCCTCAACCACGTTTCCTGGCCTGGCCAGCAGCAATGACTCTCTGAACATCCTCGCGGCTTAGGGCTTGGGGGGCTTGGGGTGTCTCCAGAACTTTTTTTGAATTGAACGCTGAGCGAACAAGCTCCACTCCTTGCGGGCGACGTACTGCTGTTGAGCACCAATGAAACGTAGTCTTCTGTCTCTGCTCAAAGGCTAGGCTGCAGCTGACACTTCATGGCTCACTTTGGGCTCGGGATTCAGCTAAGCAGGCTGCAAAATGGAGGCCGGTCAAGGCATGCGCAGGTCGTATGCGCCGGTGGCACGGCAGATATACGCCTCGCTCCGCGTCTTGTAGACACGTCCGGCCGATTGGGTGGGGCGGGTCCTGCCTCTTATACAGGCATAGACCTTCCAACCTTCAGCACCTGCAATTTGCTAACAGAAAGACGTGTTGCAGGCCAGCGACACGCATCCATATGTTCCAACTTATCACATGTTGCCAAAGAAGTACGGCTGTGCCCTGAGCACAGGCCTTTTTGCAGCCAGTTTTCCGAATAAAGGATGAGCTGGCAGCGCCAACCAAGGGTCCAAGCAGCGCTCGGCCTTGATCTCAAAGCTTTCCGCCTCAGGCTCTGCAAAGTATCGCAATCGCAGGAAGGCAGGAGCCTGGATTGACTATGAGCTGGCAGCGCCCGCTAAAGGTCCAAGCAGCGCTTGGCCTTGATCTTAAAGCTTTCCGCCTCAGGCTCCGCCAAATCTTGCAATCGCAGGAAAGCAAGAGCCTGGATGAACTCACCCATTCATAATCCGTCATTCGCATCTGTCTGAAACTAGAAACCTGGCACATGTCAAACTGAAAAAATCCGCTCTTTGACGAGCGGCCGGTCCAGCTACAGGGAAGAGGTCGCACCCCGCAGCCTTTCGCTTTGAGAGAGTTTCCAGTGCGCACGTGCTGGCTACAGGGCACAGATCGCATCGCGCAATTGTGCTCGTTGAGGACATGCACGTTTGCTGTCACGCACCCGGGCTCTAGTCGCAGATAGAGCAAACGACCTACCAAAAAAGCTTTGTCCGTCACGTGCTAGACGGATCAACCACCCCGGCAGTGGGCCGGATACGCAAGCCCCTTCCCCAACCCCTTCTTCACCAACGGCGCTTGCCGAAGGATCTGGAGAAGCAGGGTCAGGGTGCTCGACACCGCTCTAAGGTAGGTTCCTTACCTCCGGCTATAAACTGCACTGCCTATGACAAAGACCTAGCAAATTAGAGAAAACAAAAGCCTTTGTTGAGCTCCGAGCTTTAAGCCCGAATCCCGAACAAGCAGGCTAAGTGGAACGTCTGCAACCTTGTGCCGTCACTGCTCACACTGTACTCTTTGGAGAAAGTCGCCGTCCGCTTTGTTTTGCAGTCACAAGGACTGCTCCCTCTGCTGCGCAGGAAGCAGAAACCCTACCACTTGCCTTCCGCGCTTAACCGTCAGGAAGCTGGAAGGCCCGGGAATTGGGACCCGGCACACTCGATTGCAGTTTCCAGAGAGTAGATTCAGGGGATCAGTGTTGCCCGCAAATGGCTCAAAGGAACAAAAAAAACTCACCTTACAGGTTAAGTGTTCCGGAGGCAGTCGCCCCTTTAGCGTTGAGGCAGCCAGGACAATTCCCAGCAAGTTCTACCTCCCCTACATGAGCCTGCAGCCGAGCCGTAATGGATGGGGTGTCTCCACGGAAAATGGAAGACAAAATGGAAACTACTACGTAGGGTTTAGGGTTTAGGTAGGGGAGATACAAGAAATTTACAGGGATGATGGGAAACAAAATGGAAACTACTACAATCCCGACAAACCACTCTATAGCTAACGAAGACTTCCCTACCTAAACCAACCCCAACATAATCCTAAACCCTAAACCCTAAACCCCAAATAGTTACTTCCATGTTCTTTTCCATTATCCCCAACACTACCCTAATATAACCAGTCCCCATATTAGGAGAACCAAGGAGGCGAATCGATTCCCAAAGTCACTCCGGCAACTTAGAATTTACAGCGGTTTAGTGTTTTTTTGTGTTTAGAAAGGTTTAGGGGTTTAGGGTTTAGGGTTTAGAGAGGCAGCTTCATGCGTGTTTCGGGGAGAAGTGATTTTGGGGATCAGGTTGTAGTGTAGGCTTGAATCCAAAGGTCTGACCATACTTATGTAGCCTACACTAACTGATTCTTAGTGGGGAATTTGGGAATGTAATCCCTCTGTAACCCCTAGATAACACAGTCCCTTACTCCCTACTAAGAACCCATAAGTCCTGCAGCCCTAAACCCTAGACCCTAAACCCATTAAACCCATTAATTTTCGGCTTTGCCAGGGCTCCACAAGCTGGTCTTGGACAGTGCGGCTATCCCCGCCATGAGTGGCCTCCAGCACAGCGTAAGGCTCTTCTGCTGCAACCCATAGAACCATTTATAGGATTTTATGGGGATTTTATAGTAGCTTCCATTTTCTTTTCCTATAGGGATTAGAAAAGTAGCTTCCATTTTCTTTTCCAATTTCCCTATAAAGGATTATATAATAGCTTCCATTTTCTTTTCCATAATCGCTATATATCCCCTACTCTTGCGCGTTGCATACAAAGGGAATCCCAGGCCGTGTGCAAGTCACCAGGCCTTCCCCCACGTCACCACGGAGCCATCGCGCCGCAGGGCTGCAAAGGCCTACCGCCAGAGGATGCGAACCAGCACTCAGCCTGAACCTCGAGTGTAGATACGACTGAAACAGGACCCGTATGGTAGTTTCCACAATAGGGGCAGGTCTCAAAATTTAATCATGCTCATTCCAGGGGCAACAAAAAGGTAACCTTCATTTTCAAAAACCCGCAAAATTTTCCTGAGAGTTATATGTACCCCAGAAGAGCACCGCCTTGTTCGAGGCGAAGATCTCCGACACATCGTACAGCCTTAGGAGGATTGCTGGGTTGCTGTTAAGGGACTTAAATTAAGTTACCATAATGGGTACATAATAGGGTTTCCCCAATATGGTAACTTAATTTAAGTTCCTTAACAGCAACCCAGATTGGAAATCCTACTGGCACGCAGGCTGAGAATGCTGACATCTTAATGTCCAAGGTCCCGGTCCCTCTGTCCCAACGGCGAAAAACCTCTCACAAGTCCCCGGACGTCAGAATTCACCGGGTCCTGTCAAAGTCGGAAAACATTAGCATGCAACTCCCAAAATCTCCCTTGCCAAAAGCCTCGAGGCTCCTTCATCCCCTCTACTCCCTCTGCATGCTGTCAAGTTGCTGCTCCTGCACCATAAAAGCATCACCACCACAATGGGGGTCTCCCCAGGCGACCACAGTGCCATCGCTCCTAAAGGGATCCAAGAAAGCACACGAACGTAAGCATCATGCCTCTGGATTTGATCGTGGAAAAGAAAATGGAAACTACAGGGGTTATAGGGGTTATACGGTTATATAGGGGCTACAAAGGGATTATAGGGTAAAGATTGGGGTGATAAGGGATAATGAAAAGGAAAATGGACACTACGATATTGGGGATGTGTGGTTGGAACGTTTTGTCATTTTCTAGGCTTTCCAGTTGCAAAGGTGGGGAGGGCAATCACCTTGTGGACTGCCAGGGAGGCATGTCCCCCTGTAGTGAGCATTTCATGTCCCCACATACAATGAAACAATGGTGGAGGAAACGGCCGCTATACTGAATTCTTCGAGTTCAGTGTCTGTAGGAACGAGATTTGAACTAGGCCTACCCTTGGGATTTCCAAACTCAGAATACCAAGCATCCTGGTCACCTGCGCCATTCCAAGCTATGCCAAGCGGCTGCGCAGTGGCGGGGGGATGAACCCTCAGAAATGGAATAGAGTCTGCAAAAGTGCTGATAAACCAGTGTGATATGTACATACAAAACGCGAAGGCTGCGTCATGCTTCTGATTTCATCTCTGGCGCCAGTGGTTGGGTTTACGGCGGAGACTCTGCAAAGCAAACAACCCCTGAAAGCTTTCTCACGATGCCATAGATATGGAGGCTTCGGGAATCTTGCCATTTTCTTAGACTGCAGGTACCTTGCGCCCCATCGGATCTCCTCAGCGCGGCAAACGCCGTCTCGTTTGAGGTGATTTGCTCCACCTACACGGCTCCGCAGATAAGGATCAGCATTCTGGGTCAGCATGCTAGGTTACTTATCCAGGGCTGCGGCCGATTCAAATGCTTCTTCTGTGTCACATCAGGGACCATTGGATTGCTGGGATGAAGGACCCCCTAAACAGCATTTAACTGGCAAGGATGTGGCATACATACTTCAAAGCAAGAGAGATCTCAACTTGAGGTGGAGAATGGAATCCCTATCCAGCAATGAAGCCATCATCATGGATCACAGTGGTGATGGTCATTGGCAAGGCAGTACCGTTTTGCACTTCAGTGCTACACAGGACAAAAACAAAACCCAGCATGGGTACAATCAAAGCTTATCAAACATGCAGTTTGTCCAGCATCCAAATCTGCATCCCAAATCTTGCGCAAGCGAAAAAGATGAGGGAACAAAGTGCTCAGGCATCTCTGCTCGACATGTCCATCAGTAAACTTGAAGTCATCTAATCGTTTGGGGTGAAGTACGCAGCCCGCACGGATTGGTCATTCCGAACCTTGCTGCGTTTACAGGGGCTACGGCTCTTTCAACGGAACAACAAGACCTTCAACATCCTAAAAGGATGCCTGAATATGGGTGGTTGTCAAACTTATGGTCCCTTTTTGGATCCCTATTATAATGAGGCACCTCATATCTAGGGTACCCAAAAAGGGACCATAATTTTGACAACCACCCATATGGGAGTTCGCAAACAGGGCACCGAGTTATGTACCCCCACAAACAGTAACTTGCACTCGCATTTCAGGGACACCCCAAAAAGGATCCCTAGTTTGTGAAAACGTCCATAACAGCCAAGACCATAGGCAAGCTGGATAATTCCCAGGTCCTGCAACTTTCCGCCCTCCGAAAGTCCCAGAGAATCTGCCGACAATTCCGGCATGCTTCCAGACAATCACCAGAAATCCTTTTCCATCAACACATGCACAAATCCCTAAGCCCTATTTGGTAGTTTCCCACCGCAGTATAGACCCCAAAATACTATCACCCTTATTTATGGGGACCCCCAAAAAAGGTACCCCGAATTTTGGGAAACTCTCATTTGAACTCTAAACCCTTCCCGCCTCGTTTAGGCGATCCCTGACCTCGTGACTGTCGCCGCCGCACTCCTCATGGCCCCAGGTGACCACCAGGCCATCAGAACCTTGCATCCAAGGGTGTGAGGCTTGGGGTCTAGGGCTTACGGATCAGGCTTTGGAGTTTCTCAAAACGGAAGCCCTTGGGCACAGAGAGATACGACGCCAATACACGAGGCCATAATCCTTTGTTTTGAAACAGGATCTTTGCAAATGGAATGCAGGGTCTAGGCCACTTTCTTATCTTGGGGTTGAGAACTGCAGACTGTTGCTACAGGGCTCAGAGCGGTGCTCCGCGGGCCTGAACAACAACCAATCAAAACCCATGGGAAGGTTGAAGGGAGACGCAGCTGGCCTCAACCCAGACCCTCTCAGGGGTCCAAATGAAGCATTGAACCTGCTGCGAGACCCAACGTAGTCGTACAAGCCTTTGTCTGGACCTACTATTTGTTTCCTGCCCCTGTCACAAACTTACATTGCCTATGTCTGCTAACTCATGAGCATAAACAGTGGCTTGCTGCAGAGTGGGGTTACAAGGGCGTACGCTTTTGTAAAGCCCAATGGCCCAACAATTTCTGGACGTACCTACTTGTCTAAAGAACATCATCAGCGCCCCTGGCAAAGCACATAAGGTGGCTCATGGACCTGTGAGCCACCAATGCCTCCCCAGCAAGTCCCCCCTCCATCTCCACCCTGCTTGCAACGAGCGGCGGAGAGCAGCAAATGCTCGGTGGGTGGAGACCACCTGTAACTCTACCCGCGATTGCTCTGTCAGTGTCGGCCTACCACAGCACCCTTTTATGCGCGAACACAGTAGGACGCGAATGTCTTCCGCAGAAGCAAAGCCTGCACAGTATACTTTGGAGACTGAGTCCACCACCTTGCGAACAGTGCGCAGGAGAGGTTGGGCTTCACCAAGATCCCCACCTTGCAAGACCACCCTTTTTAGCTTTAGCAGCTATGGACCATGCTCAGCGCAACCTTCGGTGAAACAGAACATATACGGCAATATACGGCTTTCCCGAATTTGGGTGCACCTTTTGGGGCCCTACAACAAGGACTACAGGATTTGGGGGTCTATATTACGATCCCCCCTCTTGGAAAATTGCTTGTTTGGTGCTATCGCATGCTGGACCCAGGCAACCGCGTTCAGCTGTCCATTTTCCGGGCGCTTGCACCGAGTTTTTGCGGGCTTCAACTTTCAGGCACCCAGACATAGCCCCATGCAAGGGTAATCCCAAGCCAAGTCTGCCAGTCACATGGGATCATACTCCGAAGCCAGGACTGCATGCTGCAGTGCGACTGGATCGAAGTCAGGCTTCTTACGAAAAACTGCAAGGCTTCCGACAACCTCCTCCATGTTAGCAAACCGTTCGATCTCCTGGTAGTGCTGCCTACGAATTGTGTAATCGTGAACCATGACCACAGACCTGGAAATGGCCTCTGAGCTTATAGCCATGAGGCTCTTTAAAGCGCAAGCCGTACGAAAACGTGAGTCCACCAGCACGACATCCCACCCGTGCTTGAAATGTGCTGCGGCATCCAACACCACCTGGCTAAACGGTGGCCACCAACTGCGCCGCCCAATCAGGTCTTTGTAGCAGCGGGTCTTGACGGCACACCCAGGATTTGCGTCGGGATCCAAACACAAGCGAATTCGGTGACGACAACGACTCATGTTCTGCAAGGGAAAGCCATAGCCGGTGGTTCGGCCAATATGGATATGTAGCAAACTGATCTGCTTCGGGGCTGGACCTGAGCCATTGCGAAGCCAGGAATGCTTCCGCACTCGGTTGACCCAGCGTCTGTCCATATCAACTGACACAAGCCTTTCAAGATGAGGATACTCTTTGGATATGTACAGCGTTGATGCTCCCATGCCAAACTCGAAAAATGTACGTGCCTGGCGCAGGTGTTTCGCCAAAAGTTCGAGCTCTTCAGGATACATCCAAACAGGGCCCACACCTTCCACCTCCACATCATAAGCGAAAGCACCCCGAGGTACACAAGCAGCTGTGACCAACCAGAAGGCAGCGCTTGCCATTGAAGGCGGATTTCTTCTCCAGGCCACATGACTACCTTTCGTTCATGACCATTATTTCTAGTGTCTCTCATGCTAGCATCTCTTTCACTCCTCATGTCTATGGCACCTTTCCCAAGTATCATCTCCTGCTTTGCTCCCTTTAATGTTTACCTGTACCTTCACTTCCATATCGATCTTGCAGCCACCAATACCATCATCACCACAACAGGCTTGCACAGGAAACATGCGGGCGAAAAACTCACCACAAATGTTGATGTCCGCTTGAAGGCTAGAATTGATTAACGAAGTCCTAGAGCTGTAAAAAGCTGCGAGAACATTACATTTTCTGGCGAGCCTCTGGCGAACAAAAAGGCCAACGCTCATCCGAAATACAGAGGCCTCCTTTCGCAATAGGTTTTCGTATTATACCCTGAAGTCAGCGGCAAGCCACTAATTTCAGCACCTTCCGCATCTACCAGCACGTGCAGGCCAAACCCAGCGGCTGCGTTGCTACTAGCACCCCTATTTCTTCTGCCCTACAGCTACTATCAGCAGGACTGCTATACCTTCTAAGCCCTGCTTCTCCTGTGGTGATGATGGCGGTGATGGCAGTCCAGTCGGATACAGTAGCACAAACAAATGCACGGCACTACAACCGACAGTCTGAGGGGTCCTGTATATATATATATATACAGATAAAGATATGCAAGGCGTAGGCGCAAACGAAAGGCCTTTCTTGGCGCTCTAGCAACTTGAATTTTTCGAAGAAGATGCCCGTGGGTTCTTCTAGCTGATGCCCAAGATGATGCCCACACTCCAAAACCACGAATTCTTACGATACATAGTTTAGTGTTCAGGGCTTAGGGTTAATGATGAATTCTCTGAGGCCAGCAATGGCCAGCTACAACCTGTCATTGACTCTGTTACACACTGTTAACCCTAAATCCAAACCCTAAGCCCCGCAGGCAAGAACATCCCAAAAATGCCGCCCTCTACGGTTGCGAGCTGCGGAACCTTCTAAACAGTAAGCCATATAAACCCTGATAACAACCAAACTCCCATAATTGAGCTACCTAGGATACCTTTTAAAGCGACCCTATATGACCCCTATATCCTTTTAAGGGACCCTATATAACCCCTATATCCCCTTTAGGGGATCCATGACCTCAGGCCCCCAGGCGCCACACCACAGCGGGGCGAACCCCAGGCAACCACTGAGCCGTCCGTCCTCGCAGCATGAACGGTTTCAGGGTTTTAGGGCTTTAGGGTTTAGGGCTTTAGGGTTTAGGGCTTTAGGGTTTAGGGTTTTAGGATTTAGGCTTTGGACCCTTGGGTTTGGATTAACGGTTTCAGGGTTTTGGGTTGGTAGAATTATGGCCCCTAATATGGGTATGTAATAGGCATACATAGGGCCGATGCTTTCGATTCCGACCTTAGACTTCAGGTTCAGGTCTCAGATTTTAAGACTTTGCGCAGTTTGAGTTTGAAGTTATGGGGTTCGGGTTTGGGGTTAGGAGTTTGGAGTTTAGGGCCAGGTTCTGTACGGCTTAGCTCTAGACGGCTGAAGGGTTGAGATATCTGTTGCAGTCGCAGTTTCCCCAGGATTCGAAACCCAGGGCTCCTAGTCATCCAAGGTCTTTTCCTAAACCCGGAGCCCAAACATGACGCAGAGACTAAGTCCATTCTTGCAGTTTGGCTTGTGAGACAGGACACACTCTCCTAAACCCTAAACCCTAAACCCTAAACCGCGTATATGCCTTCACTCCTGGGAGGAAGCCCTAACGCAGTGTGGGAGCCTGAAAAATGGAAGTCAAATGCAAATCAAACTGGAAAAATGAAACGGAAACTACTATTCAGATGTTAAGTTTAGGGTATAGGGTTTAGGGTTTAGGGTTTAGGGTAAAGGGTAAGGGGTTAGGGTACCGACAGTGGAGACAAGAATTAAAATATCAACCAAATGGAAACCAAATGGAATTTGTACAGATATGTGGGGTTTGGAGTCTAGGATGACATGAAACCTGGGCTTACATAGGGGTTCATGGACATGATCCTGAATAGTTACCCATAGCATTTGGGGCACTCTATACTCTCGTCAGGCAAGAAATCTACAAACACAATTTTCTATTCTAGTTGTTCAGGCCGCTGTAGTAACCCCTTAGGAGTCTTCCCTGCAAGTACCACAAGGGACCCATTTTGCATTCATACCGCGGTTTAGGGTTTAGGGTTTAGGACGCGGATTGAGCTCTGGACATAGGCTTGTTCCAAGCAACAATGGACTTGCAGACAATATGGTAGTTCCGCAAAAAACGGGGACCCCAATGTAGACTCCAAAATACTGCAATCCTCATTGTCATTGTGGAGACCCCCCAAAATGGTACCCCTAATTTTGGGAAACTCCCATATGTACATAGAGGCTCATTCCTACTGTGAGAGGCCGCAAACCTGTTGGAGTCAGGTTGGCCCTCCATCAAATCCCAAGCAATGAAATGATAGCATCAAACATCATGAAACAAAGATGACTTGCGAATGAAGATACAGGAAAGAACAAAGGCGTATGCGGCGCCGGAGGAGGGACGGTGGGGATACCAATGACAACACGAAGAAGAATGATAGTGAAACAGCCGGAAGAATGATCTGAGCATTAACAACAGCAATGCGCAAGTTCGCGCTTTGAGGCATCAGCAAAGAAACATAAAAGATGTGCCATGTGTCTGCCCACGCACGGCCCTTGAGCCCTAAATCCTAAATCGTTCTTGAGCAACCATGGCCTAAGATCTGCCGACGAGACTCCAAACCCAGATCGCAACTGGCTACGTTATCGGGGATTATGCAATGTAAGGACTACTAAAAGGACCCATTCGTGCATTCCTGGCTAGTCACAGGTAAGATTAGAACCGCAAGATCATTTCCAACAAGCAAGTGTAAGAGCCCTGCAAGCAAATGCCCGCCCACAGCAATGACATCCCGAAAGCTGTACAAGGGTGCTCCCCCATACCGGGCGCATATTCCAAAAAGCAACACTGGAACCAGCAACCGCACGTAGCCATCCCAAAATGGTTTGAATCAAACGCTCGTGCTCTTCAAGCACTCAACACGGCTATCACTAATGTAATAGGCCCCTATATCCTTCTTGTCCCTTATTAACTATTACAAGGTGGGGGGTCCACCTAAGTTATCGCCCCTAAACCCCTAAACCCTAAATCCTACATAACCCATTATGGTATTTTTGATTTTCTTTTCCACTATCCGAAAAACACACGTCAGTGGGGGGGACCCTGCTTTTCACAGATACCCAGGTCCTCAAGGCTGCAAAGGCCCCCTGAGTGGCGAAGATCTGTGAGACGCGCCTCATTTTAAAAAGTAATAATAATAGTAATGATAGTATTGGTAATAGTCGTAATAATAATAATGATGATGATAATGCTAATAATAGTAATAGTACTATATAATAGTAAGAATAATACATTGTAAGAGTGCTAATAGCAATAACAATCATCGTAGAAACAGTAATAATGAAAGGCAGTGGGAGGCTTTGAGATACTTCCAGGGTCTAGCGACTGAAATTTTGTGGTTTGGGAAGGGAGGCCTTCCCAAGAGACAGGGACACAATATCACACCATGTGTCCCTACGTGAGACACTGTCTAAACTCCTAGTATCCCTCTGAGTGACCCGTATGATAGTCCGCCATGTAATCCCCTGTACTACCCCCTTTGAGGAGTTTAGACAATAGCTCACATGTCCTAAACGCCTTGCACATAGGACCGAGTGTAAAAAAAAAACATACTGCAGACATCAATTTACCAAAGCTTAGAAGCCACTCAACCACTCCTGCGCAGGCCAAGGGAGGGTGGGCAATTGAATGACAACTAGTGTTTGGGCCTCGTAGGGTTCCCGAGAAGTTCCTCAACAAAGAGGAACAAAGCGCACCAAATGCTTTGACAGAGCACACTGGCATAAGTATCAAGGGAATATGGAAGTATAGGAACCAGGCAGTCGCCCTCTAAGCCCAACCCTGATCGTTCCAATTGCCGCGAAGCCCGTTCAACTCGGCCGCCACTGCGCGGCCTATAGTGAGTGACAGCAGGATCAAAATGCGGATCTTCCTACTACTTTGAAGGGGTTGTGGGGCAGCACCACAATTCTTGCTAAGTCCAAGCGATTACCTGGCACCGTGAGCTGTGGAAGCAGGCAAGCAAAAGCTATCAAAGGCAAAGCTCTCACATTCAGCTTTATGCAGATGCCTACAATTCTTCAGTGTGCTTCAGGGGGCCAGAGGCGTCGAGAAGCACAGCTTAAACTAAACGAAACGTAAACAAAAAGCGTTAGATGCAGGGTCAGCATACATGTCCTCATGCCTTCAGGCACTGGAACAGTTGTTCCTTAAGGATATGGGTTTCCTGCAGTCATCACAGGAACCTCATGAAGCCTACTCCGTGAACGCAGGCCCTAACCTGAGATGATTCACCAAGTATTGCGCTCACCTGGGTCTGCAGCACGTAGCAGGAAGACTCCATCAAATGACATAACCCTAAGGGTCCATGTACACAATTATTTGGTACTTGGGATGTGGGTAATAATGGTTGTAGTACAGCTTTTGGGCAAGTATATGATTATTGGGTACTTGGATCCTTAGGGTAAGCCCTAAACCCTAAACCCTCGAACAAATGCCCTCTCGCTCAGTGTTCTCTTCAGTGTCCCGACTCGGACGGAAAGATTTGACATCACACGGAAAATCAAAATCTGGGATTACCCCCTAACCCTACTGCCTGAACTTCTGTTCCCAAACCAGGATAACCATAATGAAAAGCGTTATAATGCAAAGCCAAATTAGGGAACTTACCAGCTAATTTCAGACAATGCCTATGCCTATACCTATATCTCAAAACCCCAAAAAATGAGGCTCTAGCAGTCTCCACCGCATGCAGGATCTCCCCATGCAACGACTGCGCCCTGCTTTTCCAATGGGTGCGAGGGTCTACTTGGAGACTCCGGTTTAGGGTTTAGGGTTTAGGGTTGTGGA